GTTTAGTTGCCCTGAGCCCGCTTATGTATTCGATACTAAGTATGCCATTGAGTTTTTGTGTGACACATGTTGGTAAATGCATTGGCATAGGTTTCCTAGGGGTGTGAACAATTGTTATAAAATTTCACCGTTTATGTCTGACAAGGATGGGAGATAGTCCATCGGAATTGACAAACGGGGTTCGAACATTGATGATAGATGTCTTGCTGTATCGAGTATATTCCCACGTCGTGGTGTAACCACCGCGCCTGAACAAAGCAAGTGCATACTTCACGAAGGGATGTCTTACCGCATGCATTTCAGACGGTTAGGGTTTCTCGCTACGGATAAGGCCGCCCGCCAGGACTTTGCGCCCTTTTGTGCGTACACGATGTATTAGACGATCCATTATAGCAGCTGTGATAATGGGGTGACGTAGGCGGAAGACCCATGTTCCGAACATGCAGTAGTAGTAACTGGAGTAATAGAACGGTATGCGGTGCGCGAGACGTGGTGTACGGAGTTTCGGTGGAAGGATGCACGGCGTGCGCGGCTCGATAACAGCATAGCTCCTACATGCGTGTAGTGGAGAAGATGCATGACGGTAATGGTTAGCTAACGCAAATTAGAGGGGAAGTCAGGGATACGCCATTGGTTGTGTGCGCAAATTAAGACACATGGCAGGGAACAGGTGCGGGGCGTGCGGGCAGGAGCTGGAGTCAGACAACCTACTGAGAATCCATCTGTATCGCAATGACATGTGCAGGGACACGCTGCTCGAGAGGCTCGAGAGTAGGGCGGTGGAGGCGTTGGCGGAGGCTTTAGCCGAGGTGAGAAATAGCCCGCATCATTCGGACTGTGAGTCAGTCCCGGGCAGCCCCCACTCCGCGGACTCGCTGTTCAGATATTTAAGAGAGTTTCCCGAGCACTCGGATTTTGTACGCGGGTACGTGTCGACGTCGGACGATGGATCTGTATCCACAGTTGGCGACCTGTTCAACACCTTGAACGAGCTGTACCTGTTCTTCAAGGACGCTGATTTGTCGGACAGAGAAATAAATAGAGTGTTGCACATATTTAACCACCCGGGATACGATCCAGCAGCGGTTCGGCGCTGGCAGAACGTCGCCGACGTCAGGCGGTTTGGGGAGGAACACGCGCCGGACGACATGGTGCCGTGGCTCAAGGCAGAGATTGAGGTGCGGGGCCCCGGAGGAAGGTGTCAGATGCTGGAACTGCTGTACAAGGACACCAAGCTGGTGAGCGATTGATGGTTGGTGCTGCACGGAGTCGGCGAGTGTATGTGTGTTTATGCACTGGCTATACACAGGCTTCACGCGCCTCCTTGTGGACAGATTGCGCAGAAGATGGTGAAGACATTCGTGAATGTTAGGGGATTTGTCAAACGGCCGCGGCGAGATCCAGAAGATACGACTGAAACAAGACATTTCAGTACCCCCGACACAGGGACTTGGCTGGAAGAGGCGCAGCCAAGTAGAGGCAAATGTTCCCAAGCTTCACATTGGACTCTGATGTGAGTTAGTCTGACTCTGTTGGTAGCCTTGTGTCGTTGTCAGGCGGAACTGCCGGAGGAGGATTCTATGGTGCTGGGTGTCATCTCGTACAGCGACAGCACTTACGCGTCGGGGAACGGACGCCTACAGGCATGGCCAATGTTGATGGGTTTGGTCAATGTCCCGGAGGAGTTACGGTGGCGTGAGCCTGGGCATGCGCTAGTGGGTGTGCTCCCTTTTCCGCCGGAGTGGGCATCGGCGACGGAGAAGACGCGGGTGTATCAGGAGGCGTATCGCATCGTGATGGGTCCGCTCATGCGTGAGAACCGCGAGTAAGTGGTCCGAATGCATGCTCTAGGCCTGTTCGAGGCGAACGGGGTCATTGTCGGTTTCTGAGACCCATCAAACGTGTAAGTGGTGCATGCAGTGGTCCTCTTCGAAGCTTCGATGTGTCAGACGGCCGGGGAGGTGTCGTCAAGGCATATCCATGCCTCTATGCATTTGTTGGCGACTATCCGGAAGGGTGCCGTGCCACAGCAACGATGCAGCAGGCATCGCACAGACCGTGCTCGAGCTGCTACATCAAGAAAGGGCACCTTCATGACCTGTCAAACAAGTCAATAGTGCGCACTGTGAAGGGAGAGCGGCACGCGGCGGCGAAGATACTGAGCGCTTCGACGGTGGAAGGCGCTGCAGCGATCCAGGCCAGGTGGTCTACGCATCCGATCACGGTGCGCGCTCGATGTTTGTGTGGGGCAAGTCACATGGCCGCGGCCATGATTGTAGCGGCTTGATGTTGCGTTTTATGATGAGTCTGACAGCACCATCCAACGTGCAGAGCGTCCTGGAGCGCTGGAACTTCTCGGAGACGAAGTGGGGTAACGTCTTCCTGGCGGTTGTTGGCGACATATTGCATGTGCTGGATTCGGGGGTGCTGGTGCATATGGCCACCTGTTTCATGGAGGGGAAGTCGAAGGCCGAGATTCGGGGGTTTGATCAGTGAGTACACAGAGATTCTGTGAACTGTTTTGTATGCGGTAGTGCGTACGTGGCGGAGCTCACCACGGGAACAATCCAATCTCGTTGCTTGTGTGTGATTGGTGCGTGGTACAGCCGCAAGTTTGGCGTGAAGGGCGAGACAAGGAGTGTCTTGGTGCGCATCCCGGGTGGCTCCACGTTTTTCCGCAGCGGGGCGAATTACGCGGCGTTCGAGTATCGTGGCATGATGCAGGTTTTCCCTATTGTCATTTCCGACCTGTGTGTGGGGCGCTCTGCGGAGGAAAGGGACCAGAGGGATAAGGAGGTTCGTGCCTTCCGCTACTATGCGGTCTTCTACAAGTCCCTGCTGGCTGTGACAAAGCACACGCGGCTCACAATCGCCATCGCGAGGCAGCATGGCATCTCGTGAGTGAACACGATGGCCACTTGTTTCGTTGCTATCATAGGCTATGTTGTACATCTGTGGTGATTCTTCCAATGATCACACTACAATGTGCATACAACTTTGTGTAGACTGGTGGCTGCACTGCAGGCGGCTTTCCCGAGGCAAAAGTCGAAGTGGAACTTCGTGAAGCTACACGAAGTTGTACACCTCATCGACGGCATATCCATGAGGGGTTTGCCGCACGAGTATTCCACGGAGCTGTGGGAGCATACCCACAAGGGCACCGTGAAGAGGCCCGTGCGCGGAAGCAACTGGAAAGACATACCAAGGAGGATAGTCGAGGAGGAGACGCAACGCCAGATGACAAGGGAGATTGCGGCGCTGTCAGGAGGAGGGAAAACTTACTACACCGCCCTGCGAGAGGTACACAGCGCGTGGCCATGTAGTGTTGGTGGCATTTGTTAAAGGCACGCAGGTGTGCGAGGTGATAAGGGTGTAATGACTCCACCGGTTCATCCCATGCGTGCTCACAACCCACCTCTCAGGCTGTGAGAAGCATGAAGCCCGCGCTGACCCGCACGAGCAAGGCCATGTGTCTCATGACGGCTGACGATCCACTGCGGATGCTGTACAGGGAGACGGTGGGCAGCGCGTTTGACAACATGGCGACACTCATGGCCGCGGAAGGCCTTCAGACTTCACGTGTGTTGGTGAGATGATTTTTCATGTTAGTAACCCGGTAATCAAGCTGATGGCTTCGGTTGTAAAGAGGTTGGGCTGTTGTGTCTTGGACACGTTCGTGAAGAGGCGTCATCGTACAAGGTGTTAGTCCTCATGCTAACCCACCCATACCCGGCAGGTGCACACCGCAGTGGCCATCCCTAGCACGAAAGGGGGCTACTTGGTTCCGAAGGCGATGTTCGTGAAAGCAAGCCCGCAGGAGAACTGGTTCACCGACATTGCAATACCGGGAGAGAGGGAGGAGGAGGAGAAGGAGGAGGAGTGGTGGTATGCGCGGTGTCTCTGTATTTTCAGGGCGGTGAACTGTAGCGGGGAGGAAGGTGCATATGTATTCGTGAAGTATTACGAGGAAGAGGGGGTGTGTCCCCAGACTCTTTGCCCCCAACTTGTGCCGGGGCGGAAGGAGGCCACGCACGGGATCATTGAGGTTGCATCGATCGAGCGCATTGTCCATGTGTGCAAGTCCTTTACTAATCCTAGAGTCAGGCTACTCAATAGGTTTGCACTCATCGACTGATGGATTTTAACGCATTGCGACATGAATAACAATATGGCCCAAAGTGTCGCCCCAAACATGGAGTCATAGCGTTGTTTTGATACGGAATTGGGGTATGGCCGGGATCACTGGTGAACTTGATACTTCGAAGTCACAATTGTAACTGCAAAGTAGCATTGGCGACACTTCAGTGTCGTTGCTGCAATGTCACTTTGGCCACTCAGGTGCAATTGTGCGCGCCGATGGTTTTCCGAAGCTTTTCCGAAGATTTCCTGCAGGAAAAGCTACCGTGTACATTTTGTGCAAACTCGGAATTTCGCGATGAGGGTCAGTTCTGGGTCAGTGAATATTTCAACCCAAAAGTAACCTGCCCCGCACAGCCCTTGGGGATCTGGAGATGCGGGTTCGATACTTGTCGCTGGCAGTTCTAGACTCCAATTTGACCGCTCCAAACCTAACCCAACGTGGATCTGACCCAAATCTGTCCCAACCCTCCGTACCCTCATATTCGTTGGGCGCCCGGGTTCGATTCTCGCCATGTAAAAGGAAACCAAAAACCCGTTATAAGCCGGAAGCATTATGGACAATGACCATAAGCCAGGGTTGCGCAGGATGGTGTACCAAAACATAAACAATACATACAGTACCAACATCTGGTCTATAATACAGTCCTACACCAAAAGTACATCCGCTCTTGGTGGCCAAGAGGAGCGCCTCACGGCTTCCCAAACCACCACAACAACCCATTGGAATCAACCGAACTACTACTGCCCAACTGCCCACAGGATTGTCATTAAAAGTGTAGCCGTGGTTTGCCTCCTGTACCGACCCCACATGGTCCCCGTCAATGCACGACCACACGGCTGCACCATGTCTTCCGCCCCCATCACTCATCAAACAGGAACCGATTCACCAAAGAGAACCGGGTCTCTGTGAAACACGGAACAATGTGGGCAAGGGAGAGAATGCTCTCCACCTCGACAACGGCATACTCATCCTCTCCCTCCGTTGGCAAGTGCCTCACGCATCCCGTCACGGGGCATGGAGTGGGATGCTCGTCGAAGTACCGCACCACGGCGCGCCTGTGGATCTGGGCCTCGTCGTCCATGAAATGGAAGAGCATGAGGCACCGTGCATACCACTCGCCTCCCCCCCCATCAATCGACACGTAGCTGAACTTCCCTTCGCCCGGCGCTGCCTTCACCATGTGCCCTGGCCCGCGGCCCAAGAGGCGGTCATGAGGGGGTATCGCCAGCGCGGTGTGCACCTGCAGAAACCGACATGAACGGCACCAGGAATCACATGAGGGTCCCCCTCAAACGCAGCAACAAGGCACTGCTGACCACCTTGAACCCCAGGAATCCCATGCCCTGTTAGGCCCCCTTGCTCCCACTCGTTCCATCGAGCCATCACCTGCACGCCTGACGCAACGATACCCACGCGCTGCATCACCCGTGCGATCCCGTCCATCACGACGCGGCCCAGCGCGGCGCCGTATTCCGCCCATACCGGGTCCTGCGCATCCCCCACCGCCATGCGCCGTGAACGTCGGGTCCGCATCGCTGTGTTGTGCTTCACCGCCTGTGCCCACTCGCCGCATGATAGGAATGGAAACGATCGAATTCGGCGTCGTGACATGACCACATGAGTTCACTGCAAATACGGGACCTCAGGCCATGGAGGCAATGGCACATGGAGCGTCTGCCATACCATGCATGCATGACCAGAAATAACTCACCGTGCGCATGGCCGTCTCGTACATCCTCCCCCCCTCTTCCCGAGCCATGCCCCTGATAGCCTCGTTGCGTGCGTGGCGAACCGCAATGTCTCTGCCCACGTCCCGCTAGTTCGAGTTCCGTGCAGGCCATTTGCAGCATCGCTTATGCATGGCCTCGTAGGTGTTGGTAGATTGCTCGGACGGGATGCCATGCATCCTGATGGCGTGCGGAAGGTGCCGGAGAAGATGCACCTTCGGCAGCCGCCACTGCGATGCCTGCCTGGGGAAGACGAGCTTCAGCTCCGCGACCAGCCTGCGCAGCATCGTACAGGGACGCGTGAGATGTATGTCGATGCGGGGCAGTGGCATGAGGGGCATGTGCATTAGCTGGGAGGAGCAAAAGCTGCACTGGCGTGATACTGCGGAGCAGATAAGGCTGGGGCATGATATGTAGAGGGCGGAGGGGCAGGAGAGTGCATAGCAAGAGAGACAATTGCATGAAAGCCCAGCGCGGGGGATGAAAGGGCATTATAGGCAGCCGCGTCTGCCGCAGTGGTATGATTTCCTCCGGCTGCCTAACACCATTCAGAAATATGGCCAAGGGCACTTGGGGGCATGCGGGGATTAAGGGTTGAGAGGCAGGGGCATGATGACGAGTGGCATTGGAGAGAGTGGCCTTATAGGCAAGAGCCTGAGAGTCAGAGGCATCAGAGGCTGGTGCGGGACACAAAGTGTCTTTTGAGGCAGGGGCTCGAGGTGCTGGGACATGGTGGAGGCTAAAGCCAGCCTTGCGTGTGAATGACACACCCTCTTACACAAGTGTCTTCCTCGTTGCATCGTCAAGAGACGCCTCCGTGTGATAAGCCACGCGGAAATACGCGCGGTACCACTCGTTGAAGAGGATGACCACGCGGGCAATGTCCTCGTGGCCAGGCAGGTGAGCGACCAGCGATACAATCTGCATCATGGCCCGGTGCTCCCATGCAGCGTACTGGGACACCGTCCCAAAGTATGCCGAAGGGTCCGGATGCCGGAGAAGAGACGGTGGCGTCGCTGCCATGACGGCCTCGCACTGGCTGCGGACACAAGCAATGCAACGTCAGAGCAAGACATGAGCAAACACGCTTTGAACCGCGCAGTCCTACATGACATGTGCTTAAAGCACCACGCCACAACCCCTCGAAAACCCGCACTCGGTACCTTAGAAGAATCAGCTGCTCGGTGGGGGTTAATTTCGCCACCAGGCATCGCATGGTGTGCAGCCACACCCCCTCGTCCACCACGTGCATGATGCATATTCCGATGACCTCGTAGAGGTTCCCCCAGGGTGTGTCGACGTGCGCCCATTCCCACAGTGCGCACTGCCAAACCGAACAAAGCTAATGCTGTAATCCCCGCACCAAATCCCAATCTAAGGGTGCCGCAAACAATCATTCAACTGCCAGACCCCCAAACCGAGCCTCTCAGAGGGTCACTCACCTTCACAAAGTATGTGCACCATGCAGACTTAACTCTCTTGCGCTTCTTCGGGTTGGTACCCTCGATCCGCTCGTACACGTCCTTCTGGCCTTTCACGGTGCGTGTGGTGCTTTCCAGGGTCAGATCCGCCAGGTCCCACTTGCTCACGAGGCACATAGAGGAAGGTTGGCTCGACGTGGCTGCCCATGTGCATGTCACCATGCACGACTCCGTGTGGTCGCACACGTACTTGCTCAGGAGTGGAAAGACCCTCTGTTTCCGCCCCAAATGATCGGTGACCATGATTCCCCCACTGCGCAAGATGGGGCCCGGTCGTCGGTAGAAGCAAGTGTGATCATCGGGTGATTCAAGTGTTGGAGTCCTGGGACACTACACCCCATTCGGATGGCACCTCCCACACCTTTACAAGCAACGTACCTCTCGAGTGATGATGCGCGCATGAGAGGCCCTAGTACCAGCCGCAACATCTCGTGCATGAGCTCCGTCTTCTGCTCCGGTGTCAAGGCTGCGGGTAGCGGTGGGAAGAGTGCTACCATCTCCACGCCACCTTCAAGCCATCGGCTGGCCTCGGGAATGTTGTCCAGCGAGAACATCAACGGGTGAGCCAGCTGGCTCCCATTAAACGTCAGATGGGTCGCATCACTGAACAGAATCACCGCTGCCACTAAACCGGCACCCTGTAAAGCCTCCTGAAGGGCATGGGTCGGACACAGACGGAATTGAGTACGTACAACCCACCCCCCGTCTGCTCACCCTCCCCGATGCTGCGACATGAGACCAGGAGAACAAATGGACAGACATACTGACATATTCAAACTTACCCATGCCCGAAGAAACCAGTCGCATTCCACAGCGGACCCGTAACGTCTCTCGTCATCCACCTCCACTATCCGTGGTTCCGTTGTGAACCCGGGGACCCGGGACATCTTCTCCCACATCCTCAGTAGAATCTGCATGGTTAAGGATTGCCCAATGAGCGGCACACCAATGGGTCAATGTGGCTGAAATGTGGACTACCTATAAACTCACACGATCGAGCGGCCGAAACCGAAACGTCACCGCGCCCAGCCCCTCCTGTGTCAGAACATTATAGCTTACTTATTTGTGTAGGCTATAGTGGGGTATCCCATAGGGGGTACAACCCAATTAGGGTTTCATATTTGTACTCACTTCATTCATAGTTCATTCATTCTCGTTCAGTTTTCCACATGGTATAGAGCTGGTTCCCCTGTGGGAACTGTGCCTAGGGCCCACCACTCGAAATCTTTTTTTTCTGCCCGAAGCGCACTCATCCCGAGTCGCGCCTCGGGCCACTCCTTCCCCGAGCCGCCCTAGCAGCCGGCCTTACCCTCGCGGCCCCGCCACCCAGTGAACGCGGCCCCGCCACCTCTTCTCTCGCGGCCCCGCCGCCCAAGCGCTCGCGGCCCCCGCCGTCCCTGATCTCGCGGCCCCGCCGCCCGAGCGCTCCCGGCCCCGCCGCCCCTGATACGCGGCCCCGCCGCCCAAGCACTCGCGGCCCTCGCCGTCCCTGATCTCGCGGCCCCGCCGCCCCAACGCTCCTGGCCCCGCCGCCCCTGATACGCGGCCCCGCCGCCCCAGCGCCCGCGGCCCCGCCGCCCCTGATCTCGCGGCCCCGCCGCCCCAGCGCTCCCGGCCCCGCCGCCCCTGTTACGCGGCCCCGCCGCCCCAGCGCTCCTGGCCCCGCCGCCCCTGATACGCGGCCCCGCCGCCCCAGCGCTCACGGCCCCGCCACCCCTGATCTCGTGGCCCCGCCGCCCCAGCGCTCCCGGCCCCGCCGCCCCTATTACGCGGCCCCGCCGCCCCTGGTCTCGCGGCCCCGCCGCCCCAGCACTAACGGCCCCGCCGCCCCTTGCTCTCGCGCCGCCCGACTGCAGCAGCCGAGCCGCCCACCTGCAGCAGCCGAGCCGCCCGGAGCAGCCGAGCCGCCCAGGAGCCGCCCAGCCGCCCAGCAGCAGCCGAGCCGCCCAGCAGCAGCCGAGCCGCCCGGAGCCGCCGAGCCGCCCAGCAGCAGCCGAGCCGCCCGGAGCCGCCGAGCCGCCCAGCAGCAGCCGCGCCGCCCGGAGCCGCCGAGCCGCCCAGCAGCAGCCGAGCCGCCCGGGAGCCGAGCCGCCCAGCAGCCTAGCGGCCGTTTCGCCAGGCGACCTTCCTCCCGAACCGCCCGACCTGCCCTGCCCGGTGAGCACTGCACTGCTGTCACTGCGTACCCTTCTCCTACTGCTTGCACTGCTCCACTGTCGTCGTCATGGCTACACCCAGTGTCCTCGCTTTTGACGCTGAGGGTCGAGCCATTGACTTTGAGGTCTGGCTCGACGACCTGCAGCTGTTCTTACAGTGCGACAGGGCCGACGGTCTGTCTCTCTTTGACCTCACCTCTGGCGCCGTCCCTGCCCCTGCTGCTGATGCTGACGCCACTGTTCGCTCTCAGTGGGCCACGCGCGATGCTGCTGCACGTCTTGCTGTGCGTCGCCACCTGCCTACCGCTGAGCGCGCGCACTTTAGCCAATACAAGAGTGCTCAGACCTTGTACGACGCTGTAGTTGCGCGCTACTCCTCCCCTGCCACTGCTGCACTGAGCCGCCTCATGCTCCCCTTCCTCTTCCTTGACCTTGCCGCCTTTCCCACTGTCGCTGATCTCATCACGCACCTCCGCACTAGTGACACTCGCTACCGCGCTGCGCTTCCTGCTGACTTCTGCGCCAAGAACCCCCCCCCCATGTACATCACTCTCTACTTCTTAGTCACTCGCCTCCCTGACTCCCTTCGTGTAGTCCGGGACCACTTCCTCGCAGTCTGTCCCACCACCCTCACGGTCGACAGCCTCGAGAAGGCCCTCCTTGCAGCAGAGAAGAGCATAGTTGCTGTAGGAGCCTCTCGAGGTGACCCCCGCGCCCCCATCTTTGAGGGGTGTTCTCCTTCCCCTCTCCTGCCCTCTGTCGCCTCTGCCGCTGCGGCCGACCTCGTTGGTCTTGAGTCGGTCGGTGCGGCGTCTGCCCCTAGCGGGAGACGCCGCTCTGGCAAGGGCAAGGGGGGCAAGGGAGCGGGTGGGGCCAGTGGGGGCGGTGGCGGTGGAGGTGGAGGCGGCGGAGGGAGTGGGGGTGGCGGTGGAGGTGGTAGCGGGGGTGGGGGTGCTAGTGGCGGCAGTGGAGGCGGGAGTGGCGGCGGCGGTGGCGGTGGTAGCGGAGGTGGCGGAGGTGGCGGCGGTGGGGGTGGAGGCGGGGGCGGTGGAGGCGGAGGCGGGGGTGGCGGAGGTGGAGGTGGTCGGAGTGGAGCTTCGCAGCGGAGCGGCACTGGTGGCGGTCAGCGCCAGCACCAGCAGCAGCAGCAGCAGCAGCAGCGTTCTCGC